GCGCAGGCTGTGGACACAGGCTGCTCGCCACCGGCGCTGAGTTGTCGTGGGCCCACCGGATGCACTGCACGCGCCGGCTCTGAGTGCCTCCACCGCACGTCCGGCTGCAGGAGCTCCAGTTCCCCAGGGACCAGCTGCAGGGGACAGGGTGTGGATGTGTGAAGCACTCCCCCCGCTCAACACGCAGCACAGTTCTACCGTGCCACAAGGGAAGGTAAACGAGCGACATTTGTGGGAAAGTGCACGCACCTCGAGACCACAGCGTTAAGTGAAGGAATCGGACTCGCAGGCTTCGATATGGCGTGATTTCTCTCACCCCAGAAGCCCAAAGCAAAGTGTAGATAAATAAAGCACAGAATAAAAGGTAGATAATAGGAGACAGACAGACAGATCTTTTGCAGATGGGAAGGGACCGAGAGATGGAGGGAGAGGAGGGGATGTAGAAAGAATGAAGATGCGTTACGTACAGGCACCGACTTCTCACCCCAAAAGCAGCCACTGCGTCCTGCGAACAGGTGCTAAAAGTCTTTTAGAAAGTGAAGAGGAAAAAAATTGGTCCACGTGACCCTAAAAGGAAGAGGCCCCAGTAAGGAAGGGGCAGTGTCCTGGCCCGAGACAGGAAGGTGAAGTAGCAGCGGCCAGTGAAGTTTCCCAGCTGCTGTGTAGACAGCGCTGGCTGTAGCCGCAGGGCCCGGACTCCTCCCCAGCCTGCTCCTCCTGCCCTCCTCCCTGTCCCCCTTCCCTTCCACTGGCCTTGCTTCCACCACCCTTGCAAATGACCCACTCCAGAGCAGTGTGGCCAAGTGGCCGTTCTGCCTCTGCCTTTCTTAAAACAAAAACTTCAACATTCGCAGGGTAAGGGACCTTTCTGCTCCTGTTCACCCCCTCGATAGTTACCCTCCATGCTCCCCACTGGGAAGCACGTTTCCGATGTACATATTCCACTGTGAATCTCCAAAGGATAAGAAGAAATCTGTTTTTAGAACCCCCCCCCAGTAACATTATGACATCCAAAAAAGGGGGTAATTTTTTTGGCATTACTGAAAGTGTCTGGGGTTCGAATTCTTAACAGTATCTCGAAGTTCTTAATTTAATCTGCTTGTTAAAGGAAAACCCAAATAAAACCCACACTGTGCAACTAACTGGTCCACAGGTTTTTCTTCTCTGTCTCCATGTGATTCCTTAATCCTAATCTTGATTTTCCTACTCAATTCATTTGGGGCAGAAGCTGGGTGGTTTCTGTCCTGAATCTTCTGCAGATTTTTTTCCCCACTGCAGGATTTTGTGAAGAACATCTCCATAGTGTCATTTAACATATTCCTCTGCCCGTGGTCATTTCCATCCATTAGGGTTTGGATCTAGAGGCTTTATTCATTTTGGGTAGGATTTGTTTTAATGACTGTTTCATTAGGGGTAGCTGCTTTTCCAGCAGGAGGTTCATAACATCTGGGCATCGTTCATTTGATTACCAGTTGTTGACAGGTGACAATATTTTCCCTCAAAGCCGCATTTTTATTTGTCTTTTCTGCATATAAAAGAATTCCTAGTTGGGTGTAGTGGTGCATGTCTGTGTGTCTGTGATCCCTTCTTCCGGTGACAGCCGCTGCTACTGTGTCTCTATGCTGCTTCTTTTGCTTGCTCTGTGTGTGTCCCTGTGTGTCTCTGTGTGTCCCTGTTTGTGTCTCTGTGTGTGTCCATGTGTGTGTCTCTCTGTGTTTGCGTGGATAGAAATAGAAAATGGTAATGCAAATTTTTATACACACAAAAAGCAAATATGTCAGGGTTGTAGGAATCGTCCCAGTCGGCTGTGGAAACACTCCCCATCATTGGTGATGGCATAATGAGCATTTTTCATTCGCTGTCATGCCAACTACTTATACATCCTCCTTCTAGGAGATTGGCTTCAGCCTTGCAGCTGTAAGGAGTCTGCTGTCAGTGGCCTGAGTGGCTTTTTCGGCTCTGTGTGCTTCCAGTTGTGATTTTGTTTCTTCCCATTTTGCACACTGCTCTCTGCGTCCTGCAGCCTTGTGAATTTTAACTGCTGTGTCCACACCGGGGCTGCCACAGACATCCTGGCTGCGGCAGGTTTTCCACATCGCCTTGGGAGCCTCTGTCTCTGTCATCTTACCCATTTCCACTGGGCTCGCCCATCCTCCAGCCTCTCTCGAGAGAGCAGATCTCTACACGGAATCATCTTGCACAGAGATCGCCCCAATCACTTCTGGAGGTGCCAAATATCTGTCTGAGTTCACAAGCAGTGCACTGGTACAAAATGCCTCCAGTTCAGCCCAAGAGACTCGAAACCTTTGCCTGGCTCTGTATGATGCTGAGGGTCCCGTAAGCCGGAGTGAGCTGTGTTTTGAAAATAAACAGGGGCCCTGGCAACAGCTTTGACTTGATTTTCCTGAATGCACCAGTGGGAAGAAAGCAACTGCTTGGTATTCCCCTTATCAGTTGGGGTCTTGAGGCAGGATGCAGCGGGGCTCAGCCATCTCCTCCACCCAGCTGTGGTGCTATGCACTGCCAAGGGCCCTCTCGTGGGTACACCTGTGCGGTTCTCAGGGTGGGGGTCACTGCTTCCCGTCAGGGATTCAGGTGGGTCTCCTGGCATCCGTTTTGAATCCAATATCCTTACTGTTCAGCAACTGTCACAGTTTGGATCTGGAATGTTCTCCAAAGGCCATGTGGTTAAGGTTTGGTCCCAGGATGGCAGTGTTGGGGGAATGGACCCTTGCGGGGGGGCTTTCGTGGACGGAGGTTAGGTCATTGTGAGAGGTAACTGTGGGGCTCCACTGCTGCCCTGAGATGGGTGAGCCTCCTTCCCTACATGCCTCTCCCATGACATGGCCCCTGGCCATGAGACTAAAGCAACAGGGCCAGTCTGTCATGGGCTGAAGCTCTGAAACAGTAGGTGAAACAAAACTTTCTCTTAACTCAAATGATCTCAGTACCAGCACACTGACAAGCACAACAGTCATTAGATAAGGTCAATGAAATGCCTTTTCTCTCCACTTTAAAAAGTGAATTTAACACTTCAGTTTTGGCCATGTAATGCTTCCTTTGGCAAAACCTTCCCATGAGGGCTGAGCAGAATACTTTGTCACAGCACCAGCAGAGCGGCATGCCGCCACAACAGGACAGTTTGGACTCTGAGGCCATCTCTGGCTTCCACTCCAACTCGCTCATGGCTTGATCCCACCTGAACCAGCCTTTGCTTGATCATGGGTTTAAGATCATAAGTCTCTCAGCGGTTTCTGCTTTCATCTTGGAATTTAGTTGCTGTATCAGCAAGCTTTCCCATTGTTGGACACAACACCTGACACGCATGACTTCAAGGAGGAGAGGTTTGAGTTGGCTGATGGTTTCAGGGGATTCAGTCCATGGTGAGCTGATTCCAAGGCGGGACCGTCACAGAGGAAGGAGATGGTGGAACAGAGCTGTTCAGCTCATGGTGTTCAGGAAGCAGAGCAGGGGAATAGTGCCAGAGAAGAAGGGGACAGGGACTGGATACAGTACCCAAAGTCACACCTCCCACGAACTACCCAGAGGCATGCTCACTAATCCATTATGGATTTCTTAATCGAATGAAGTTGGTGTATCAGGATTAAAGATCGCAGTTCTTTTCTCTGTTGGTTCTTGTTGGAGCTACTGTATTTTCCAGAGTGATTCTTGGCTTCTGTGTGGATGACTCTTTGCTCCATGGAAAATGATTTAACACAGAAGCTGTCACGACACATACCAGCTTGAAGCCTTGATGAACACGAGGCTGTCATAGCACGAATCAGCTCGAGAGAGGGGAGTCCCCTCTCCTGGCGGCTGTAGAATCACAAAGGCTGCGCTGTAGAATTTGCCGGCAGGTGCTTCTTGGATCCTTGATAGACCTGTCAACACGGTGTTCTCAGCACATCTGTCGCAGGTTTCAGGCAGGCTGTTCCTAATTAATTGCTTTGCCTCCCTAAATGAGCTCTATTGGCCTCCAGGACTATATGCAGACACTCTCAGGGCCCAGAGGTTATGACAGTGGTCGATGCGGTCTGGCGGGGTGGGATTGGCTGAGCTTTGAAGATACAGCTTTGTTTTCATATGAGTAACTACAGCATTCTCACATGTGTGAGTAATTGTAGGTCCACCACACTTTAAAACGAAATGTTTTAAACATTCAACAATAAACATCTGCCTCTTGGAAACCACTGCTTGTTTTCATTGGAAAAATAAATCCAAGTTAACAAGCTAAACCATGTAGGAACCCTGTAAGTGGGGCCACAGGTCAGCAGAACTGGGCAGAATGGGAAGGAGAGAAGCTGACCCCCTCAGCCCATCCGGTAGACAGCCGAGGTGTCTGCTTGCTGTCCTCACTGTCTGCTGTTGGAACTGACAGGGGTGCTTGCATGGCATTGTATCCAAGCAATCAGAGATAGAAGTTGAGCTCTGGAAGAGGCAGTGACCTTGGGGATCAAATGTGTGCTTGAGAGCTGCAGATAGAGCTGGGGTTGTTGGAGAGATGGAGCTGTGCTTGTCTGCACTCATGGCTAGAACAGAGCACTCGAAGTCTCCATGTCCCTCTGGGGTCTGGCAGCAAGTACATCAGGAATGGCACAGCAGGGAGAGTGTGAGAATGCTGGTGAGCTGTGTGCTGGACCCTGCTGCTCGGGAGCCCCAGGTGGTTGCCCAGGACACATTTCCCAGCAGTAAACGTAGTGTTTGCTACATTCATGGCACAATTGCCATCCCATGACTGACAACCGGCTGGCAGGAAACACAGCCTGGAGATCAGGCCCTCCTCTGCACTTGGATGCTCACAAGCGGACGCCTCCTACATTTCCTAAATCACACCTCTTCGTCTTGTGAAACTGAAGGGGAGATCCACAGCAAGCCAGACACAGGCGTGGGATAACTTTTCATCTCGAAATGCAGGATTCTCTGCTAAAAGTATGCAAAGCCAAGGGGGCAGATGTGAAAGCCTTCTTCCAAGGGAGGCGCTGTGAGCACTGACTTCATGAACTGCAGAGCCAAAGGCGTGCAAAGCTTCCCTGCTGGAGGTCAGTATGATAGTTTTACTGGGTCTCACTCTCCTGTCACAAAATCTTATTTTAAAAAGAACCAGTGAGATCCACAGAGGTTCGTTTACACAGGG